TCTTGGCAAAGATATGGAGTGGTTTGCCATTTCATTCTCCAGTTTATTTTACAGATGAGGAAACTGAGGTAAACAAGATTAAGTGACTTGCTCAGGGTCATGCAGCTAGTTAAGTGTCTGAGGCCACATTTGAACTCAGGTTTTCCTGACTCCAGGCCCAGTGCTCTATATAGCTACTGCACCACTTGGCTGCCCCAGAGTTACGTAAGGAATATGCCAAATACAATTCCAAACTACTTTAACAGAAAAGTCTACATACAATCAATCAACAAGTATGTATTAAGTGCCTACAGAATGCTAGGCACAAAAGGTAACAATGCAACACACAAACTTTAATTCAAAGTGATTTTTCCTATGCTTTTCATAGCATAATTACAATATGCAATGAAGTACCTAAAATGCTTTCCAGCATTAGAGCAATGATTCTATGTTAAAAATGCTAGATACAAAAATGTCAAAACCTCTGTGTGCCTCTGTTATCTCCATGTCTATAAAATGGACTAAGTGATTACATTTATTCTGCAAGCTGTCAATCCAAAAACTGTACTATGGATTGTGACAAGTTTGTTTTGAAACATTAAAAAAGCCTAGTTTACATAAACTAAATAAACCTCCCTTTAACTTTGTTTCACACCAAGGGCACTTATCTTCACGATGTGCCAAAGTGGTCTTTCCATCTACTGGGTCTTTCTTATACCCCTGAATGGGATCCGAGCACTAACATCATGTACAAAAAGCACAATATGCTGGTACGGAAACAAAAATCAAAATAAAGGAGAAAGAGAGTCAATATGGAGCCCTACTCAATCAACAAAAGTACCTACTAATGTACCAGGCACTACCTAGATATAAAAGGGATACAAAAACAAAAATCATCCAGTCGTTGCACTCAAACAAGAATTAGTAGACAGCTTCCAACTCAGCCTCTCCTGACTATTCCCCACCAATGCAAACTCCTAGAACTGGTGAAGCAGTAGCCAATCAGGCTACATCCACCAAATTCAAGTCTATCAAATGAAAAGGAATCAGCGGAACAAAACAATTTCTATGACCACATGAGAGTCCTAAGAGTAGTTAAACTGGATTAAAGTACTTGCTCTTCTCTCCATATTTCAGAGTAGACTAGCTCAAAATTTAATTCTATTTAGTACGTCCTTATTAAGTCACAGGATCACAGGATCTTAGATTTAGAGCTGGAAGGACTGTCAGAAGCCATTTAATCTAACCTCCCTCCCAATTTTACAGGTGAGGAAATGAGGCCAAGGTGGATTAAGTGAGTAGCCCACCATCACAGAGGTAATGTCAGAAGCAGGTTTTGACCAGGTCCTCTTACTGCAAAGCCAGTGCCCTTTCTACTATAAATGCTGACCCAGCCTAAGGGGACTTGTGGAGAAAGAGGGAAAACTTTCTCTATTTGCTCAGCATTGTGCCCCAAGTTCCTAGGGCCCATTCACTTATCAGACAGCATAGCCAGCACCTGCCTTTAAGCAGAATCTGTCCCTGAACAACACTGCCAGATTAATCTTTCTAAAGTACCCTTTTCCAAGGAAACCTGGGTTGCAGAGAACCAATTCACTGTTTGCCAACCTTTTTCAATGATGAGGACTCCTTTTTAAGGTTAAAAAATTCCTCAGATCCCCTGAATAGGAGTTAAAATACTAGTTTCTGGTGACTAAAAAAGTACATAATCTATGAATTCAATAATGCTTTTAGGTGAATTTGAATTTTATTGATCATAAATGCAGCAACATATGAAAAAATGATATGAATTTGTTCAAGACATTTATTCAGCCTATTGAAAGCATATTTGCTTACTTATTTGATTCATATATACAGATTCCTCCTTACAACCCAAAAGGTTGGGAGCCACTGCCTGATGTACCAGTCCCTTTCCAGGCCAAAAATTATATGGTTTTAAGTTATATTGATTAGATAGAGTGTTATCATAGAATTGACAATTCAAAACATCACTGGATTCAGCCCAGTGTCTTCAAGCAGATAAAAATTATCACACTCATTTTGTCAATGAGGCAAAGTCACACAGCTAACAAAGGGTAAAGCTAAGGCCTCCTCAAACACTGTACAATATTATTTCTGCTATGCCACATTATCAAATGGAATAATTTCTCATGTCGGAGTTGTTTCATTTTGCCACTAAAATGTGATGGAATGATTTTCTGAATCCAAAACTTTAAGCTCTTAAAAGTTCCATCTTCAAGAGTATTGTCTTCTGTCTTTCATGGAAATCTGATGGCTTCTGAATACACAGAGTTATAATTCATATTGTTCTAAGCACAAGCACACCAATAGGCACTATGCAAACCACAGGGGAAATGGTTTTAGCAACAATTTTAAGTTTTCCTAGGTTAAACTCCACAACAAGTATTTTAATGCACAAGAATCTTCAATCACTCTTATAGTCTTGCTGAACTTAATGTTATTTAATTAACAACCACAACTAGCCAGCAAACTGCATTTATATTTTACTGATCATTTCACTGAACACATAATCCATATGTATTAGGACATTTTTAGTAAACAAAGTTTTGAAATTTTCTTTCTATAATAAAAGAGCATGACAATAATGGCAGGAACCTATGATTACTGAATTTATTATACAGCATGTTTTAAAATCAATTATCTGAACAAAGAAAAATATATAAGTAGCATCAGAGATCTTATCTGGAATCTTATTTAAGTTCCTGGTACTTCAAGGGACTCAATATGGGGTTTCTTAAATTCTAATGTTAACCTATAACAGGAAAAATTAGCAAGGGCAAGAAGAATAAATCACCTATTCCTTGCAATCTCACAAACATAATTTTTCATTAATGGGGCAAATAAAGTCTTAAATAATTTTGTTAGTAGATCTCATCAGTAAAGTCTCAACGTGGAAAAACCCTCCACTGATGCAGACTGGCATTTTGCCTTTACTTACTATAAAAGTTCTCTTAAGGAAACTAAACATAATTATGGAGAATCTGCTTCCCAATTAGATGTAGTTACACAACTGTGAAATTCAAGTTTGTAACATATTACAACAGACGTCTGCTATTGTGGGTTTTTTTTTTTTATCCTAACACTAAATTCTTCCCCACCACAATAATATTCCAAGTTTTCTGTCATTTAAGCCTCAAATCTAAATTCTGAGTTTTATCATGACTATTCTTTTACACTGAGTTGTCTGTTGTCTAAACAATTGTTTAAAAAAAAGAATTTTAATATGCACTAAAATGAATCCCCTAAACTAGCAAAATCCATACTGCATCCTCTAAGGTTTTCTCCAATTCAGTTTTAAAGATCTTTGATTAATACTTTTGTATTTATCTACTCTTCTACATACCAGAATTATGTGGGCACCAAATAAATTAATACCTAGATAGAAATGAATGGTTTACAGTCATCATATGCGAATAGCATATCTAGAAACTTAAGAGGCAAAGCAATAATAATAATAAGATGCACAAAACTGAAAGTAACTCAAGGACCTTAGGAGGTCATTTAATTCATCCACTGACAATTATGTGAGACACTGGAAACTATTCCAAATTTTTTCTTTTTTATCTCCAGACGCCCAACCTCCCCAGTAGATTCATTTCAACATGAAATGACTGTCATGTGACTGGGGATATATTACATTAATGGGGGTTTTCTGCCTTTATTAAACCCCAAGGTTTGTGTATATATGTGTACAGTGTGCATAATCAGACTGTCACATCCACCTCCTCTTCTATCCCCCCAAATCTCTAAAAACATTTCTAAACTAGCAATACAACATAACTCTTTGGACTACAGAATTATTGGTAATCAATTCTGTAAAAACTCTTCAGACAAAAAGGTGTTTTTCCTGTAATCTATCAAGTGTTCCTCCTATTTTAAAAAACCCTGTTCATTTTCAATACCATAGACAGAATTAGGGGGGAAAAAAAAACCTTTTATGTACTAGATCCAAATACAGAACAGAAAAATATTTTACTTTAAAAAATCATAGAGCCAAGAATCAATTGGAAGGGGGAGAGTTAGAATGAAAGAAAGAGGTAGTGAAGAAAGAGAGAGCTCGGTCATGATGATGAACAAATACAATTTTAACCAAAATGGGTGGGGAAAGTCTCTGTCAACTCTAAAGAAAAAAAAAAAGAAAAAAAGGCATTTTCGGTAAATATTTAAATGGCAAGA